TCTCTCTCTGTGTCTTTCTGGTGAGCACATGTGCCCTATACCAAAAACCTCTCCCAAAAAAAAATTTTAAAAAAAGGCACAAGCTCTGGAGCCATACTGTCTAGGTTCCAACTAGCTTTGCCATTTACTCTGTGACCACGGGTGAGGCCACTTAACTTCTCTATGCCTCAGTTTTCATACCCACAAATTAAGCTCATGGCAGTTTCTACATCCCTTAACGCTGTTGTCAAGAATTTTAAAAGTTACGGGAACCAGCAGTTAGCGTAATGGCTATGTCGCTGGACTCCCACGTAGTCGACCACGGTTCACGTCCCGGACCCGGTAGCTTAAAACTCATGCCAGGCGCGTGTCCGTGTGTACCCAAGATCCCGAGAAGAGAATGGAGAAGAAGGGATTGCGGCGTGACCATCCTCCCTGGGGGGGGTGATTTCTCGCTTTCTGTCTCTATGTCTCTCTCTGTCTGTCTGGCGAGCGCACACGCCCTACAGCGAAAACCTCTCCAAAAAAAAAAAAAAAGAATTTTAAAAGTTACTACAAGGAAAACCCTTAGAATAGTGCATAGTGCCTGGTGCGTACAAAAACACAAATGCATTTTATCTATTATTATTGAATTGTTCTCCAGTCATTGTCCAGCATACATCCAGCACCGTCCTATACAGAGACAAGAATAAAGGCTTATTACACTAAACTGAGGTCATACTGTTGAAATCCTGGCTGTGCCCACTACCTTATCAAGAATAACCTGAATGAGTAATTTGGAAAGATGAAACATACAATTGCCTATGCAACTTAGGCAGCAGAGAATTAGTACAGCAAGCTTCCCAAAAAACGTAGTCCTAGACTTGTACTTACCACACCTTCCATCTTCTTCCACAGTCCCTCCAGGTGCGTCATGGGTTGACACCACCAATCAGTGCACTTTCTGTATCTATTGCCTTGAAACCAAAACTGTCTCAGCCACTCAAATTCGACCTGTGGGCCATAAATAAAAGGAGGTAGTTATAATGCCCTTGTGATGGACGAACAAGGACAATGACTTCGTCACTCAATTCTCCTCTGGTAACTTAACAGCCATTGGGTGAGAAAAGGTGAGAAAAGCTCAGCCTAACCAGTTCCTAATATAACTTGGTGTCTCCAGAGCATTTCTGCAAAGCCAAGTACAGGTAGTCTTAAAGTTGAAGTCTTCTTAGAAAGACAATTCAGCTCAGGCTAGAGGGGAGGTTTCAATCACATTATTAGTGAGATGCGAAGAAATAGTAAGTTAATCAACATCAAATTCTGAGACCCTAATGTATCTAGCAGATAGCACTATGCCTGATGAGAAAAATTCAATCAAACAAAATATGTTTTTATCACATATCTTTATTAAAAGACTAGTATTAAAAGTAGAACACAAGGGACCAGCAGTTGGCGTAATGGCTATGTCGCTGGACTCCCACGTAGTCGACCGCGGTTCGAGTCCCGGACCCGGTGGCTTAAACTCATGCCGGGCACGTGTGCATGTGTGCCCAAGATCCCGAGAGGAGAATGGAAGAGAAGGGATTGTGGCGTGGCCATCCCCCCTGGGGGGTTATTTCCTGCTTTCTATCTCTCTGTCTCTCTCTCTGTCTGTCTGGCGAGCGCACGCGCCCTATAGCAAAAACCTCCAAAAAAAAAAAAAAAAAGAAAGAAAAGTAGAACACAACACATTTTAGGAGATACCAAATTTGTGTATCTCAGTTTAAAATAAATAAAGAACTTACCTATGAGCCAAGAAGAGCTGGTAATCTTAGCCCACATGAACAAACAATATAAAAATAATTATGGAGGTATACATTGCTCTACAAAGCCATTCAAACTGTCACTTGCCAACTTGAAACGAATGACAAAAAAAAGGTAGCAAAAATACTGGCAATTTAGTTTTCTTACCATGAACCAACTACAGTAAACATCTATTATTTCCTACCTTAGTATTCCTCCTTCTATTCTCCCAAAACTCTGCTACCATTTGGGAACTCATCCCTCCCTCAATCTCAGCCTATGCAGCTCAGATACAAGGTTAGAATGAGCAATCCAGATCTAGGCCAACTAGTCCCCCATATTTCTCTAGTCACAGAACTGGTTTGGAGAGAAATAAGTATTAATATATGTTCAATCAGAATATGTCTCAAGACCTTCAGAAGATACTGGAAGGAGATTCTACTATCTTATGAGAAGAAGGGAGACAACGGAAGTCTCCAACAACAACATAGGACTGGCTTTAAGATGAAAAGATTAAAAACCAGATGCTACTGACATTAAATAAGGTCAAGCTATTCCTTTTCTTTCTTTTTTTTTTCTTTTTTTGAGAGGTTTTTGCTATAGGGCACGTACGCTTGCCAGAAAGACAGAGAGAGACAGAGAGATAGAAAGCAAGAAATCACCACCCAGGGGGGGATGGCCACCCCACAATCCCTTCTCCTCCATTCTCCTCTCAGGATCTTGGGCATGCACGCACACGCCCCCGGTGTGAGTTTTAAGTCACCAGGTCTGGGACTTGAGCCAGGGTCGACTACATGGGAGTCCAGCGACATAGCTATTATGCTAACTGCTGGTCCCAGGTCAAGCTATTCCTGAAGCCCTTTTAACTTAAGCCAATTCAGGTTGAGTTTTCTGTCCTTGCAACTGAAATAATCCCAACATATATGAGGGGCTTCAAAATATTAATGGACAATGCGTATTATGAGAAAACTAAGTGGGGACAGCAGATGGTGTAGTGGCTACATTGCTGGACTCCCACATAGCCAACCACAGTTTGAGTCCCAGACCTGGTGGCTTGAAAATCACACCAGGAATGTGTCCATGTGTGCCCAAGATCCTAGGAGGAGAAAGGATTGAGGGGTAGCCATCCCCTCTGGAGGTTGATTTCTCACTTTCCCTCTCACAGTCTCTGTCTCTCTCTTTCTCTGGAACCACACACACTCTAAGGCAAAAACTTCTAAAAAAAATAAAAAAAACAACGCATGGATTCCAAAATTTTTTTGTACCAAAATAAACCTGTACTTTCGTTCCATTTTCATAAACTTTTTGAAGTCTCCTGGTATACATGAGAGGCTGAGTAAAGCTTTAGAGGCATAATAAATTGTTTCCTATCACTCATCTTCAATTCGAAAATCAAATTTTATGTCCAAGTACAACTTCACTGATGCTAAAAACTCCTTTTTCCCTCTGCCCTTTAAAGAAATGTGGAACAGTCAGAGCTTCATGCTGGGTTGTCTTGCTTTGCTAAGGTGATTATGTTCCATACACAGACAGGGAGCTATTATAATCTTCACCTGTTACCACAAAGAATTTTTTTATTTGTTTATCCATATTGAACTTTCATGAGGCAAACAAAAGCAACTTGTGAAGATTTAACAATGGTGAAAATGGCTCAAACGAGTAACCTGAGAACACCAAGTCATATGAAAAGGTTTTAGTTTACATTAACTAAATGTTTGTTTGATATGTAGAACTGATTTCAGTTAAAGCTGTTTAAACAAAACAAAACAAAAAAGGAATGTAGGCAATATTGAGACAACAGTTGCTAAACCTTATCTGTGGTATTAAAAGACAGTAGTTAACAGAAGTAAACTTGAGTACTTTGAGAGGGAAATAAATACAAGTGCAGCTCAACTTCTGTGAAGTTACAGGTTTAACAACATATTTATTTCAAGGGAAAAAAATGAGTTCTTTTTAGTGGATTTCATAAAAAATTTGTTCACATTATAGGAATAGCCTGTCAATAAAGCATCAAGCCCTGTGCTATGAAGAGTTGAAAGAGTTTAGGAGGTTTTCCGATCTTTGAAATTGTTAAAAAAAATTAAATGTTGGCTACAATGCTGTCCCAGGAAATAAAAATAGATCACATGTCATTAGTTCATTCAACTTACTAGGGTACACTAAGGTCTGTAGTTCAGTACATTCAAACTCAGAAGCCAGGAGAAGGGCATATCTGGAGACTCCGCTAGCAAACAAGGGAGTAAAGAAAAAACTCTGTTCATTTTCATAAACAGTGCCTTCATCTTCCTCCTCAGATGCTCAACTGTCTTTGGAGACAGATAGTGTCATGGTTAGGAATAAATTCAAAACTGAGCTCCACTACGGAATAGCTATGTCCTCTGTAAAATAGGGATAGTTACACAACAGCCATGAAGGTTTGTGGTGAGGATTAAATGGGCTAATCCTGCACTGATAATGTCAGGCACTTGCTAGATCCAAAGGATACATACTGAACAAGACCACAAGGCACAGAACTTACTGTCTTCAAGCACCTCACAATGTTATGCAATTTCTGAGCAGTTGGTTTTAATGTCCATGTCAATGCATGCCTGCCCCTTCCTACCAACGCCAATTGAGTAAGTTCTACCCTAAGGACCTACTTTCGACACAGTCTGAGTGGTGAACTGAAGAGATACAAACGTTTTGGACATCAAATCCATGGGCATGCAATTTATTCAACACCATAACCTAACTTTCTCATATAAATGTTATAGGTGAAAAAACAGTACAGGACTTGAACCAAATGCTACCCTCACTAATTCCTCCCTTGCCAAGTAAAATAGTTGGCTCTTTTCTTATAATTAATTGAAGCAAAACATACTTTAAGCTGTGAGTAAGAGTTTTTGTTTGTTTGTTTTTTAATTTCTCCTAAAAGCTAAAGATTAGGAAGTAAATATGCACAAAAAATAAAGGATCAGTCTTCAGAATACAATGGAAACTTGACTACTTCAGAGCTAAACAACAACAAAACTCAAGAGCCTAATCATGCTAACTGATTAATAAAGTTCTAACCACGACAAGAATAAGGTCTTTATCTTTTCGCTAGAGTTGTAGTCCCTCCAATGAGCTAACAGAGTAGAAATAAGAGAGAAGACATCAAGTGTGCAAAGGATGACCTGAGGCCAAGGAACACTGAACAGACCCTGATACTCATCCGACCAGCAGGGAGGTAACACATACGAATATTCTCCAGGTTCTCTCAGAGTCTTTGCTTTGCTTAGGAACTAAACTCCCTGATTTTGGACATGCACCTAATCAAAATTCACTATTATTCAATCTTTTGAACAATTACAAAGAGAATTAATGCCTACAGGCATCAGAAAGCATACTAACATCCTAGAGGCCTTGCAAGATCTCAAAGGGCTTCTAAACCTTCAGAGAAAAATGAAAACATGAGCACTTACAGCTGTGACCCAGAATACCATCTCTATAACCCTCTTAGCTCTACCCGTCTTCTCCATGGGATAGTAAAAAAATACATCAATCAATAAAAGCTTATGTCTTAGAAATACTCAGAAAATATGTGAAGGGGTGGAAGAAACAGAATCTATCCACCTATCTGAAACTCAGTCATGGGGCACTTTGGCATTGAAAGAAGAAAGCTAGTAAAATTCTCCAATAATATTTCTGAACCATATATCAAGGGATAGTTGAAAATCATCCCCATCACTCCTATGGGTAAGCAAATACATGACTAGTGTGTTTAGACTCTCCATTTGAGCCCACATCAGCCAAACTGTTTCCTCATGAGATGTAGGAACACTCCCCTTAGACTTAATATTTCACTAATAATTAAAATAAGTTACCTCACTGAAAAAGAAATTAGACCAAAGAGAGAGGATAAGGCCCAATCTACAAAGAGATACTGTGTGAAGGCCTGTTCACGACAGCTAGAGGGAAGATGCAGGTCTGATCAGAAGAAAATGAGGACCAAACACTGCCATTAAACAGTACATTATTCTAGGGGAAATTTATGAAGTGGAGAGACTGAATTCCACATTTTACTATTCTTAAGAAAACAGACTGTTAAGTAACACAGAGGAAGATTCTGCTTATAAAAGAATGAAAATGCATTTTTCTAAACATCTTTAATGGGGGGGGGGTGAGCAGAATCTACAAAAGATACTCAGTTTCTATGCCAGCTCCTAAATTACTTAGTGAGAAACCAATCCAGACCAGGAAAAAAAAAAAAAATTCCACCTCTAAACCAACACAGCTTGAAAGCCTGCAGCAAGTAAAACCAAGGCCTTCATCCTGTAATTAGTCTAGCAAAGGCACGTGGCCTTGAAGAAAGAGAAAAGCAAACAAAAAACCAGGATAACTATTATGGACATTTGTGCTTTTGTTTAACAACAGAACATGGTAGAGAGTGAGCATACAAGCACTCAATCCCAGGCCAACTTGTGTGGCAAAAAAAACAATAGCTGATGATGTGCCCTGAGACAGGGAATTAATTCTTGAAGTAGGGAGAGGGTTACCTTGAAGAATCCAAGACTGGGAAGATAGAGAAGGCTGACACGCATGCTATTAAGATTCACAAACTCTCCATTCAACCCCAGGCTAGCCTCTAGGGCCTAAGGTTTCTGATACATTTCTGCCCCCACCTCCCTAACATACACAATGTCAAAATCGACAAACTACTTTCTGAACCAGATGGAACAGATGACGATAATCTACTGTTAAATACACAGTGTGATTTTATAGATTCTGTCCATTGATGATTATAAAACTTCACAGTCATAGAAAACTAGAAAAATAAAATAGCCTACAGGCATAGCCTACATGACTCTAAAACTGCAATATTTTTAAAGAAGAAAATAATAATTTCAAGATTATAATTTCTACACTGCAAATATAGAGAAAGAAAATGTAATTTTCCTCCCAGGTCTAATTCAGTGAGGTCATCAGGTCCATAAATATACACATTCCTGAAATTCTAGCTATCCACAATGTCCCTAGCAGGGATTGATGGGAGGGAAAATGGGACTCTTATCAGGTTCAATGAAGGAAAAAAAGTTAGGGCTGGATTCGGGTTAGAAGTATAACACTTACTCTTCCCATGAAAGACATAATGCCTTTGTCTTTGGTTTTAGAGATTATGACAATATTTCAGTGTGAAGCATCTCACAAGATAACATTTTTTTTTTTTTTTAATTTTCAGAGGGTACTTAAACTAGTCAGAGACAGACAAAAAGGGGACAGGAGGAGGAAGGACTCCCCCGCATGAGGTATGGTTATGCCACAATCCCTTCTCCCCCATTCTCCACCCTGTTGGGATTTTGAGCAAACAGGCATACATGTACAGCATGTTTTTTAAGCCACCAGAGATGGGATTCAAAATATGACCAATCATGTGGGATCTGGCTCTCTTAACCACTAGGTTGCAGGGATGACCCTTAAATACCTTTTTTAAGATAAGAAAAAGATGAGGCCAGCAGGTGGTGTGGTAGATAAGAGCGCTGGACTCCCCCATGGCCAATTGCAGTTCAACTCCTGGACCTGGCAGCTTCCTTGCTCACTTCCCCCGCCCCCTTGCATTCTGTCCCTCTCTGGTCAAATTAAAATAAATAAATAAATGAATAAATAAATAAATTTAAATAAAATACTTCTTAAAAAAAAAAAAAAAGATAAGGGGGAGCCAGCAGTTAGCATAATGGCTATGTCGCTGGACTCCCACATAGTCGAATGCGGTTCGCGTCCTGGACCCGGTGGCTTAAAACACACCGGGCATGTGTGCATGCATGCCCAAGATCCCAAGAGGAGAATGGAGGAGAAGGGATTGCGGTGTGACCATCCCCTCTGGGGGGTGATTTCTCGCTTTCTGTCTCTATGTCTCTGTCTGTCTGGCGAGCGCATGTGCCCTATAGTGAAAATCTCTCCAAAAAAAAAAAAAAATAAGGAAAAGACTTTATATGTCTTTGTGGGAGCAGACATTGTGCCTCCTCTGCTCGAACTCTTCAGTGGCAGTCCATTTCCCTCAAAGTAAGAGGAAAAGTTTTTGGGGGGGCTTCCAAAGACCTAAACAATATGCTGTTCCCCAGTCTCCTATTACTAACTGGGTGACTTCATTTCCTAAACTCTCAGCCTTACTCCCTCCACTCAAACAATATTGCTCCTGAACTAGTCCATGAACATCAGATATTTTCCAACCTTACTGCCTTAGCAGTGGTTGTTTCTGCTGCCCAATACTCTTCCTCATATAGCCACATGACTCACTCCCTTAGCTCCTTCAAGTCTCTACTCAAGAAAATTTCAATAGGGATGCTCGCAAATTCTGTCAGTCTCTATTGCTCTGTTTAGTTGATTTTTTTTCTGTAGCTCTTATGCACTAACATATTGCATAACTTACTGAGGTATTAAATTTATTATTTGTTGTCATCTTCCTGTACTAGGATGTCTACTTTATTTATCAATACAGCCAGAAGCTCCCACAAGAGTGCCTGGCACAAGCTCAGTAATTTTTAGTTAAAATAATAAATGAGAACATTTTTATATACCAAATTCTCTATGAATTCTTCTGATTATATCCGAAAGAAAATCTCAGATTGGTGAGGATCATCAATAATTCTCTACCACTTGTTAATTTCTTTTTCTTTTTTTAGTAGTTTTTTTCAAGGTATAATTTACCCACCATAAACTTCCCAATATTTTAAGTGCAAAAATTCAATGGTTTTCATAAAATTTATGCATTTGTGCAAACATTACCACTAATCTCTCTTCTTAACATGAAAAATGAAGACTTTAGGCTCAGAGCCTCCTCCAGGCAAGAATATATCCTGGATATAATAACACTGCTCTATTTCCATTGGATAGATTTTTCTGGTTACTTTTTCTCTTGGCTAGTGATAGTGGATTTCCATTTAAAGTGACAAAATAAGGTTTCCGTTACAAAGACATTTATGTATATTTTTAAAAGGAGTTATTTTAAAGAAAACAATTAAATAGTTAATAATACATGTAGTCCAAAGATAAAGCAAAAAAATTGTCAGGGTATTATAAGAACAGTCAAGTTTATAAAACATTAACTCAAGTGATTTAATCTTGCTAGACTCTCAGACTATAAAACTGCAACTAATTTCATTACTAAAAAGCAGGGCATTGACACTTGCTCCTAGGGCCCACCCTAAATTCTCATCAGTCCTCAGTGCGAGACTATTGTTCAAAATTCTCTTGTGCTTAAAAAAAAAAAAAAAATTCTCTTGTGTTTCTGCATGCCCTGTGAGCAACCACTGATTGTTCTGTGTTTTAAACTGTCATTATAAAGATATTAATATAATGAACAGCCTTGGTAGATACTGTTTCACCCTTTAAAACAAAGGGCAGGTTTACATATAGACTTGGAAGATAAAGACAATGTCTTGATCTGGAGTAAAGATAGGCATGTTCATTATCCACTAAAAAAAAACCTGATTCCTGGGACCAGCAGTTAGCGTAATGGCTATGTCGCTGAACTCCCGTGTGGTCGACTGTGGTTCGAGTCCCGGATAAGGCGGCTTAAACTCACGCCAGGCACGTGTATGTGTGTGCCCAAGATCCCGAAAGGAGAAAGGAGGAGAAGGGGTTACAGTGTGGCCATCCCCCCTGGGGGTGATTTCTCGCTTTCTGTCTCTCTGTCTCTCTCTGTCTTTCTGGCAAGTGCACATGCTCTATAGAAAATAAACCTCTCAAAAATAAATAAATAAATAAATAAATTCTGATTCCTTTAGATCAAGGTTCCTTTCCCGTAATGCAGGTCCTCGATATACCTATGTCATCTGGTCTACTTTGTACTGACTTATGGAAACAGAAGCTTGGAGAAGGCTAGGTTCTGAATGATTTTGTCACTTCAAAATTACTATATTGGGGGACCAGCAGTTAGCATAATAGCTATGTCGCTGGGCTCCCACATAGTCGACCGCAGTTCGCGTCCCAAACCCAGTGGCTTAAAACTCACGTCGGGCGCGTTTGCGTGCATGCCCAAGATCCCAAGAGGAGAATGGAGGAGAAGGGATTGCAGCGTGGCCATCCCTCCTGGGGGGTGATTTCTCGCTTTTCTATGTCTCTCTCTGTCTGTCTGGCGAGCGCACGCGCACTATAGTGAAAAAAAAAAAAAAAAACTCTCCCCCCCCAAAAAAAAATTACTATGTTGGGAGCAGCAGTTAGCATAATGGCTATGTCACTGGACTCCCATGTAGTCGACCACGCTTCCCATCCCGGACCCGGTGGCTTAAAACTCACGCTGGCCGTGTGTGCGTGCGTGCCCAAGATCCCAAGAGGAGAATGGAGGAGAAGGGATTGTGGTGTGGCCATCCCCCCTGGGGGATGATTTCTCACTTTCTATCTCTCAGTCTCTCTCTGTCTGTCTGCATGCGTCCTATAGCAAAAACTTCTCCAAAAAAAACCTCAAAAAAACAAAATTCCTACGTTAAAATCTTTTTAGAATTATTTTATTTAATTTTATTTATTTATTTACTTATTTTTTTATTTGACCAGAGAGGGACAGAGAGAGAGAAAGAGAGAGTGAGAGACAGAGAGAAGGAAAGTGAAAAAGCAAGGCACCAGGTCTGGGACTTGAACCATGGTTAGCCATGTGGGAGTCCAGTGGCCATAATGACCATGCCACCTGCTGGCCCCTATATATTGAAATCCTAACACCCAAGGTGATGATATTGAGAGCCGGGGCCTTTGGAGGTGGTAAATCACAAGGGCAGAGCCCTTATGAATGGTCTTAATGCCCTTATACAAGGTCTGAGGAAATGTGTTTGTCCCTTGTACCATGTCAGGAAAAGCTGCCATCCATCAGTAAGGACACACACCCTCATCAGATACCAATCCTATCTTGGACTTCCCAGTCTCCAGACTGTGAGGAAAAGTCTCTGTTGAGAAGCTATCTAGTCTGTCACATTTTGCTACAGCAAACCAAATGGACTCAGACAGAGAACTAATGCAAGATGCTGATATTCTGGCGACTACTGCTATTGCAATAACTCATCTTTCCATTCTCACCCAGGATGCTCATGTCTTACACCAGTATGAAACTGACAAATTACCTTGTTAGTTTGCAAGTACAGCAGAATCTCAAACCCTTAACAATTTTTGAAAATCCTCACCTCATTGTGAATTTCTTCTCCTTGTTTCAGAACTGCAGGCTCGAAGGTTTTCAAAGAGATGTCACCATTGTCTACATCGTCACGGACATTCTGCAGAGCCAACTGGCAGCGCTGTGAGATATAGTCCAAGGTTCCTGTGGAGCACTGTTGAGACAAAATCATCTATTAGGATTATGAGCAAATTCCAAGTGTACCACGACTGTTCACAACGGTCTCCATTTTCTGCATTCTCCTATCATGCCCACAGCTCAGCCTATGCCCCTTAACTTGGGAATTACTACAAGAGCCTGCTCGCTGGGCTCTGTACTGTCAACTTGACCTCGCCTGCATTTCACCTCAGCTTTGACTCTAAAGTCTATCCATTCATTTCCTTCCTGTGAGAGAGAACAAGACGATAGAAAAAGTGTCTTTGTACTGCCAGAATCACATATGCACACATGGGCATGCCAAGCATGTTTAGTTTTACCTGAGATGCAAACCCGGAGCTTTCCTATACGGTCTCCACTATAGTGCGGTAACCTCTACTATCTGTGCCAATGCAGCTAGACCTTGCTGACTTTATTTTATTATTTGGGTCTTTATGGCCCTATTATTATATATGAGGGGACTTAGAAGGTCATGGAAAGTAGCATTAAAGTACATGTTCATTTTGTTATGAAACATTTTGAAATCCATGCATAGGTTTTCCATGATACCTATTTTCCATGAACTTTTCAAAAGACCTCTCAAGTATTTTCTACATATAAGATAACATCTAAAAATTGAGTCCCAAAATGTAGAAGAAACTTCATAAATAATTAATTACTGGAAAAAATAACTAGTTAACTGAGAAGTCAAGTCACTGACTTTATCTTAAGTGGGCTCAGGCTATCAATGGGGGATAAAAGGTAACCAGAGAGTAGAATTGGGTCAAAACCACACAGAACAGAATAGTAATGGCAGAAAAATAAATTGAAGTTATAAGCACGAGGTAAATAACTCATTTCCCCTTTCTGATTAAAGTATACACTAGGCAGTTGCAGCCCTTGGCAGAATAGATTCTTCAAATAATGGAAGGTTCATGGTTCGTGCCCTCCAGGCACATCAAACAGCACAGCTTAGGACCTGGGTATCCGCAAGGACACAGATAACTAGCTCATCCCTCTCTGAGTCTGTGGGAGCAAAACAGAGGTCAAATGGACAATCGCCTTCTTTAAATGAGCATATGTCAGAAGAGAAGAGGATGCAGATGGAGTGTGCATCCGTTTGTTTTGATAATGAAATGATTTCCTAGAATGATTTTAAAAAGCAAGCTATATATATCTTTAGACCCAATGAGGGAAATGCAACCCCAAAATGTTTTTATTTCAGAACATATCCCTAAAATATTTTTATTGTAATATTTATCATTTTAAACAGAGCCCTTGGAAATAACCTTGAAAGCCAATCCTCTGGTATAGAAAATCTTTGTACATTTACTGCCCTTTCATATAACATGAGATCAACAAGCCTGAGAAAAATAAAGTTCCCGTGCCAAAAAATAGAAGCTTGACTAATATGTATTTTAATATGAAGAGCCAGAGTGCTGGGATCATAAGGGCAGGCAGCTTTAATTTGTTGCAAAGAAAAAATGAAGAATGGAGGTGAATTACCACTCGCTTTTGTCTCACAGTTACCTCTACAATATCTTTTTAATTGACATTTCTATCTACAAAGTCACTCTATTCACACCTTTACTTTCCCACATATGGAATGACTACATAAGAAGTTATTAATTGATGGGACCAGCAGTTGGAGTAATGGCTACGTCACTGGACTCCCATGTAGTCGACCGCAGTTCGAGTCTCAGACCTGGAGGCTTAAACTCACGTGCAATGCATGCCCAAGATCCTGAGAGGAGAATGGAGAAGGGATTGCAGTGTAGCCATCCCTCTGGGGGATGATTTCTCACTTTCTGTCTTTCTGTCTCTGTCTTTCTGGTAAGCGCATGTGCCCTATAGCAAAAACCTCCCCTCCCGGCACAAAAAGAAGTAGTTACTAATTGCTCTGTCATGCATTGTACTTAAATATTGGAAACAGCCTAAATTTCCCATCAATAGGCTACCAGTTAAATAAACTAAGGTAAAACCATACGTGCAGCCAAAATCAGGGGTAGGGTAGATTATTTTTTTCCCTGAAAAAATAAACACTATAAATATAAACACTATACGTGTTTTATTTGTTGTAAGAAATATTTGATTAAGTCATATATGGGTTTTTGCTTCTCTTTTTATTTTGGTAACAGCTTTATTCAGATATAATTCATACATCATAAAATTCAATCATTTAAAATATACAATTCAACAAATGCTTTTTAGTATATCCACAAAGTTATACAACTATCACCACAAATTACTTTGAGAATATTTTTATCACCCCACATAGAAATCTTGTGCCCTCTAGCAGTCACCCCCTCTCCTTCCCACCAACCTTTCCAGTCCTAGGCAACCACTGATCTACTTCCTCTGTACACAGATATGCGTCTTCTAGACATTTCATTCAAATAAAATGACACAATACGTAACCCTTAATGAACAGCTTCTCCCACTTAACATGTTTTCAAGATTTATCCACATTGTAGCACATATCACTACTTTGTTTTTAATGTCAAACTATATTTAATTGATGGAGATGATACATTTTGCTTATCTATTCATTAAGTGATAAGCCTTTGGGTTGCTTCCCCTTTTGGCTATTATGAACCAAGCTTTTATGATCATTCATGCATAAGTTTTTATTTCATTTGGGAATATACCTAGGCATGGAGTTGCTGGGTCACAGGGTACCTCAGTATTTAACTTTCTGAGAGTCAGACACTTTTCCAAAGTGGCAGCCCCACTGTACATTCCCTCCAGTAGTGCATGTGGGTTCTATTTTCTGTACATCCTTACCAATATTTGTTAACACTTTTTTTTTCTTTTTTTAAGACAGAGTATCCCTATGTTGTGGTCCTCCTACCTCCAGCTATAATTACATAGTTGAAATTATAGGCATATAATACCATGCCCAACACTCAGGCCAGGAATCGAACCAGGTCTCCCATATGGCTTCAGCCTACTGAGTAGAAGCATTGACCAGCATGTGCTAACATAGCTGAGACTGTTACTATTTTGTTGATACTACTAATCCTAGTGGGTTCGACAGAGCATCTCATTGTGGGTGTAATTTGCATTTCTCTAATTACTAAAGAAGTTAAGCAATTTATGTGTGCTTATTGGCCATTTGTATTTCTTCTTTGGAAACATGTTTATTCAGATCCTTTATCATTTCAAATTGGGTTATTTCTTTTTGGTTATTGAGTTATAAGGATATTTGAATATCCTAGATACAAGTACTTTATGAGACATAATTTACATATTTCTTTCTCCAATTCTGCGGGTTGTCATTTTACTTTATTATTTTTTTTAATTATTTTATTTTTTATTTTAACTTTATTTATTTATTTTTAACTTGACCAGAGGGGAACAAAGTGAGAGGGGGAGAAGGGTGAGGAGGGTGGGAGAGAGAGAGAAAGAGAGAGAGAGAGAGAGAGAGAAAGTGAGAAAGAAAACCACCAGGTCCAAACTGTGGTTGGCTATATGGGAGTCCAATTTCCCTAACAACCACGCTACCTGCCAGCCCTGTCATTTCACTTTGTTGATGGTACCCTTTGAAGCACAGAAGTTTTAACTTTGATGAAATCCAGTTATCTATTTCTTCTTTGACTGCTTGTGCTTTTTGTATCATATCTAAAAGCTACTAACCACTCCCAAGTAAGAACTATAAATTGATGAGTAATTATTATAAGAAGTCACTGAAACAAAAGTACAGAATAGTATAGAGAGTAGGCTATCATTTGTATGACAGTATTTTAAAATTATATATGTATTTGCTTATATACTAAATATCGCCAAAGAATGAGAAGAATCTGATTAACACCACTGATTGCCTCAGGAGAGCTGAGGCTGGCTGGCTTAAAGAGAAAGAGACATTGAATTGTATATCCATAGGTGTTTTTTGAATTTGAACCATTTAAGTAACTACTTATTCAAAAACTAATTATGCATACAATTTAAATTTAAAAAGACATTCTGTGTGAAATCACAAGACTATTCTAATCACAACTAGAAGAAAACTAAAGTCGATGAATGATCAAGTGCAATCAGACATAATCTAGTCATTGGCAATCAAAAATTTACATGGATTTCTACTCTGATGAACTGAAATGAATTTCGGAACATCATTTCCTTAAGACAATCTACTTCCTACATATTATGAACAGGCAAAAAAACAGCAAGTTGTTCTGTATGGCACAGATAAGGTACAATACTAATACTGTACAAAAGAGAAGACAATTTGCGGAATAAATGAGAGCTATAAAGTTTACATGAATTCTCTCTTATAGTGAAGGAAACAATATAACTTTGGTACTGGGGGAAAATCTCCTTTTTTTACTATTGAAAAAAATGCAAGGTGAAGTAAAATATTTTAAGTAAGATTAAAGTATAATCTCATCACCTTTTTTCTTCTTTTGTTTTACTGTTTGTGAATCTTTGTCCACACACAGTTGTAATCAGTATATATATATATCAATGTATATGTTGGTTTTCACTGCTTGTGCATAAGTTTTCAAAACAATAATATTCAGTGTTACTAAGGAGACTTTCAATAATTACTCAACTAACCACATACTAAAAAGGCAGTAAAGCTCAGCTCAACTTTTCATTGTTATTGATCATGTTAAATAAACATCTTTATAAATATAGTTCTACTGAATGATTTCCTAAGTTTGAATCCTAAAAACAGTATTATCAAAGATCTGAATTTATTTTTGCCATGTGTTACACATATTCCCATATGGCTTTCCAAAAAGTACACCAGTTATAAAAACTATCAGAAGTATATAAATTATACCAGTCTCACTATAACTCTGCCAGCACTAAATACTATTTTTTTTTCTTTAGGTAGAAATAAAAAGTTACCTTAAAACAGCAAATGTTCTCAAATCACTTTCAAGTTCAAGGTGATTTAGAAAGCCTGTTTACATACGGGATAATCAAAGAGGTCAACAATTTATTTTCTTTTTCTTTCTTTTTTTTCTTTTTCTTCTTTTTCTTTTTAGAGAGATTTTTGCAATAAGGCAAAAT